CCCCATCCAACCCTACCCAATCCAAGGCTAGCCATGGGCTAGAGAGGAAATGTGTCTAGGACAGTGAGTAGGAGAGGGGATAGAACACCTTCCTTGCCAGTCCCTCAGCTCAGAGCCAGGTACCCCAGACTAGCTTATGGTCTCCAGGCCACAGTGGGCAAAAGCAAAGTGAGATCTCAGTAAAGGTGCAGGAAGCAGACTGCAGTGGCTGGGATCTGGCCTCCTAAAATCCAAGCCCACTCCAGACTCTGGCTCTGGGAAGTACAGCTCAGACTCCTGGGAGGGTGTCTGACCCAGAAGCTTGGCTCAAGACAATCAGAAGCAGCCATTGAGGTGGCCTGCTCCCCAGCCAGGAAAAAGCTGGCAGAAAGTGGAGGCAGGGCCTGGGGCTGGAGCTGTCCCTCCCCTACAAGTGGCCTAGTTTTTTCTTTCCTCTAGAGTTAGAATGGGAAGGGTGGTTAGCATGCCTGGAAGAGGCCTCACAAACAGGCCTGGATGAAAAGCCTCGAGGACACAGGGGTGCTTTGGAATATGTTTATTTTCTTGTAGCAACCTACAGTATACATACTTAAACCAAATCAAATGGTTCAGAACTACAATTCAGGGGCATCCAACATGGCAACCCCTGACCAGTACCCAAGGGTGCTGCAGCTGTCTCAGGGAGAGCAAGGCCTAAGAGACAACGGTCACCAAGGGTAGGCAGCAGACACCTGGGAGGCCCTCCGGTTCCTAGGGGTACCCTGGGTTGCCCAAAATACCAGCTCTCAAGCAGCCCGAGGTGTCCACAGTGTAACAAGACAAGATGACCCAAGGGGTTCACGGGGTGGGGTGGGGGCAGAAATGGACACCACTCCCTCCCACCTCAGGCCGTCTTCCGTTACTTGCCTGGCGTGTGCTCACACGGCCTGCAAAGGAAGGGTGTCCCTCCAACGTGCAGTTGGGGAACAGGGACTCATCCAGCGGGAAATGCTCCAGCCTCAAATCCAGCCCAGGCAGCCCAGTGGCTCCCTTGTCCGGCCAAGGAGGCTGAGACAGGCCGGGGCCCTCCTTTTCCCTGGTGCTGATTGGCTCACGGTCTCCAGGCAGCCCGTTCCTTCCCTCGTGTGACAGGCCCTGGCCACCCGGAGGTGGAAAAGTCAAGCACGCTCTGCTCAGGGCCACCTAAGGTTCCACTCAGACCACTCCCATGGGTGCACCCCCCCCCCAACAGCGGAGCCTGAGGACCCCAGAGGTCATCCTGGCCCGGCTCCACATCAGAACTGGACCTGTCCCCGCCACTCTTCACAGTTCCTCTCCAGCCCATGTCTGGCCCTGGTTCATTCACGCGGCACACACGCACGGGATCCCTGCCCCAGCCTGGAGAGAGAAAGGCTCCTGCAGTAGAAGTCCCAGCTCGGCACCGAGCTCGCTCAGAGCCTGGCAGCCTCAGCCCCACTGCACGCGGCCCCGGCGGCCCGCGGCTGGCTCTCGCCGTAGATTCGGTGGCTATGGACAAGGGTGGGTTTGGCGAAGGAAGGCTTCTTGCCACGGCACGTGTCGGCAGCGTGGGTAAGGCCAGGCTACCGCGCCGGTCCGGGGCCGGTGCGCGCCCGGGTCGCCGCTCCGCCCCGCAGCCAGGCCGCGAGAGCGCACCGGTGTCAGGGGCCGGGCGTCCTCCCCACTACGCAGGCAGACCTGGGCCGCCGGGGCCGCCCCGTCGCCGTCGTCGCCGCCGCCAGGCGTGCCGGGTCTAGTGGTCCTAAACATTTCACAATTGCGCTACAGAACTGTTGAACTGTTAAGAACCACTGGACCCGGCGCGCGTGCAGACAGGAGCTCCGCGAGGCCCGGGGCTCCGGGGCCACGGCCCGCGCCCCCCGTCCAGCTGGCCCTCCAGGCCCGGCTGCACTCCGTGCGGCGGCGGCCGGCGCGGCGGCGCTTTTTATGCGGCGCGGTCGCCCCGATCGGCGCCGGAACGCGCCGGCGCGCTGCCCCGACCGGTTTTTCCAGGCCCCTGGGTCGCGCGGCGGGTCGGCCGGAGGCCCCAGGACCGGCTCCGCGTGCCCGCGCGGGGGTGGCCCTGACTCACCGGCCGCGCCCGGCGCCCGGCCTGGCGCACCTGGCCGGGGTCGGCGCGAGGGGCCGCGCCCGCTGGAACCCCGAGCGCCGGCGTTGCAGAGCTCGCCGAGGGGCCACGCCGCCAGGGCACGCACCGAGTCCCACGGGGAGCGCGGGGGCGGGACCGGACACGCCCGTACCGCGAACTTTCTTCAAAGAGAACTCCGTGGGAGGGGAAGGAGGGAACAAAGAGAAAGTGAAACTGGGGGGGGGGGGGGGTGCGGTGAGTTTCTGCTTCCCAGCCCTGGGCCTCTCGGGCAGTCGGAGGGGGCGGCGCGAGCCTAGCCCTGGGCCCTTGTACCAGCTACCAGGGACCTTGCCCCTCGTCCAAGGGTCCCGTGTGCTCCGCACCTGCAGGCGCCCTGCCCTCTTAGTCACTGAGCCCACACGGGTTCCATCCCAGTGGGGCCCGCTGTAAGGACGGTGTTAAAGGAAATGGAGAGCGATTGGGAGTGACTGTGGGCCTCCTTCCCAAAACTTGAACCCCCGAGGGCCAGCAGGAGGTTGTCATAATTCATTCACGTCCAGGCCAGCCAGCTCAGGGGACACCAGTGTCCTCCATGCCGGGTGACACAGACTGGGCCCAGGCAGGAGGCAGCCACTGAGCTCTGAGGAAGCCCTTGGACTTTTCACTGATGTGCTGTCAAGTTTTAACTGTTGCAGCCAGCCAGTAGAGGTTTCGTGTTTCCTTTTGCAATTGGAGGATACCGCCTCGGAGGGGAGCAGTGACTTCTGGGGTTCCACAGCCCTTGGCAGTCTATAAGCCTCATTGACTGTGGAGTTAGAGGGACTGGCACCCGCTACCTAGGCTGAAAGTCATCTCCTTCAGTGGGAAACCCAGAACAGCAAGACGGGGGGGGGGGGGGAACAAAACAAAACAAAGCCTCCACAGCTAGTCTAGCCTGAGTGGGCTCCCTTCCCTCAGCAAAGATGGTGGTACTACACCTCAGAGGGGACTTTTGGGAGGCAGGTGACAACTACAGGCCCCTGTGGCACCCTTGCAACAGGAAATCCTGCAACCAGAAAGGGAACCTTGCAAGAGATCACCAGTATATGATGATGAGATGGGTGGGGTGGCCTGGAGGGCTTTCAAGTGGGGAGCCTGATTATAGAATAGAAAATGCTGGGAAACAGAGGCTGTGATGAAAGGGAGATGTTCCCCACAGATAACCCTGGCACTGGAGGAGTCCAAGCCTCCCTAGAGGGAAATTACCAGTGTGAAAAAACAGCAGTGAACCCTGCCTGCTGGGGGTAGGGCTCGGCCCTCCTGCCACTTGTGAGGAGAGCTATAGGGTTCCACACCTTATCCAGACAGGAGTCTGGTCTGAGAGCAGCCTGGATTCTCTCAGGTCTGCAGCTGCTGCCACAGGAACCCTGGAGCGGCTCTGTCCCTTACGCATTGGGAAGATGGAAGGATGACACAGAACTCTTCTTGGGGATCTGGAAGGAACACGTGTGTGCCTCAAAGTTTTCCATCATGGATCATGCCCTCTGTCTAAGCAACTTATCTGTGACCCTCAGAGGAACTCACTCATGGAGTATCTGCCTTCCTCCCAAGGCTTCTGGACACTGCCTGAGAGGCCAGGCTGCCAGCCCTCATAGGTGTCCCTCTTAACCTGCCCAATTGCTGAAGTCCCCTGACCCTTGTTGCCCTATCTCTGCAGAACTGTGTGACCAACGTGGGGAAAAGCCTCAGTCTGGCTTTTCCAGCACCTGTGGGGGTGGAGGTCCAGCAGACTGGCGTGGTGTACCCCAAGCAATGGCCCTGCCAGTCCCTTGGGAGAAGCATGATGGCCTGCTGTGTGTGGACACCAGGCTGAGCTCACCCTCCACAGCTTCCTCTGGCCTACATATGTCTGACAGTCTCACCACCTCTTCCCGGACCCTGAAAGTCTTGGCCCGCAGGTGATATCAGGACTTCTGACGCTCATGTCCTCCCCACCCACTCGCCAGAGACTCACTGAGGTGTAGGACAAAGGCTGCTAGGCCCTGCAGTGTTCAGGTGGTGTTACCAGGTTGTGCAAGGTCTGAGCACACCTGTCTGGGTGAGGAGCTGGGAGGCTGCCAGGATAGCGTCTGCTGGGGCCTGGGAACCAGGCTGAGGAGCCTAAGGCGTGGGGAGGGGAGCCTCAACCTGGCTCACCCAAATGCCAAGGGCCAGCTCTGGGGGTCATGCCTTCCCACCGTCCTCAGGGTGCACATCCTCCTGGGGGCCTGAGTGCTTCCAAGCCCTGTCTAGGGGCCCAAGGAACAGATGAGCATTCTCATGTAGGCATAAGGCAGAGGGGACATGAGGCTCAGGACAGCTCCTCGCTCCTAACAAGGAAGGGCAGAGGCCTTTTGTGGCAGAATAGGTGGCCCGTGCCTTGCATCCGAGGAACTGAGCTAGTGAGGGCCATGTCCTTGCTAGATGTTTAAAGTTCGGGCTGACAGCTAAGAAGGAGCCTGCTTCCTCAGCCAAGACCTGCGGCAACCCTCCAGCGTCAGGATGCTCACCCCATCCCAGGCTGGCCTAGCAGGATCCTTGCCTTCCCGTTGGCAGCCCAGGCCACAGAGAATAGCAAGTTGGAAGCTGGAAATGCCCTGTGCTTGGGGACGCCAGGGCCTCCTATCACTGCACTTCAGACCCTGGCTGCCTGGAAGAGGCTACTAAGCCCGAGATGAAAAGAATCAGGACATGTCGCTGCCCCCCCCCCAAAGCTGCCTGAGGGGGTGGGGGTGGGGCAGGACAGCTTGCTCAGGCCCTCCCCGGGTCACCCTAACCTATCACACCTGGCCAGCCTCAGAATGATTGCTTAAGTGGATACCGTCTGCTGTGGAGATGACTCTCTGCCCCACAGCCCGAGGCCTATCCCCACATGCCTACACAGTCACAGCCCACAGACCCATCTGGGCCAAGCAGCCTATGTCCCCACAACAAGTTTATTGACATTCTTCCCGATCAACAGAGACCTCCAGAGCCTGTCCTGCCAACAGGCTGGGAAACAGTTTAGCAGAAGCAGCTGGTTTGCGCCTGAGGGACCTCAAGCAGTAAGGAATCCTCACGCTGCAGGAGGGTTGAGGGCCGAGGAGCACTTCCTGGAAACAGGTCTGCTGAGGCTGTGTAGCGGCCATGTAGGGAAGGTGCACCAGAGGCAGGGCTCCCCCACTCCACCCCAGGGGCCCTGCGTATGGAGTCCAGGCAGTCCCAGTCAGTCTCAAAACACCAAATAATGCAGCAGAGATGGATGTCAGCTGGGAGCAGCCCAAGACTGGCTATGGTGAAAGTCTGAGGAGAGCCTCTCCCACGTGAAGTCCCAGCAGCCACTGTCTCCAGCAGACTGTGCTCCTTCTAGAGGTCCCCAAGAAGGCTCTGGACACCACTTCCTCAGGCTGTCTCCAGAACTGGCTGTGGAACACCAGGTGCCAGGCTCCAGCTGCAGACCAACTGGAGCTCACTGAGTGGACACGGGCCCAGCCCAGGACTTAGTGGGCCTGGGGCTGGGTGCCAACCCTGTCCTTAAAGCTCTGCAGCAGGACCACTATATCTGCATTCCCAGCCGCAGCAGCCTGTAGGGGAGAAAGACCTGTGGAGACTGCCTGGCCTCAGTAGCAGAAGCCCAAATCTCCGCCCCCACCCTGGAGACCGATAGGAGACAGCCTCCTGGGTTGATCCTGAGGAAAGTCCCTAGGAGGGATGGGCATCTCCTGGCCTAGAACTGGGAAGATTAGCTGAGGACCTCCAGCAGGCCTCCAGAAGAGGGTACAGGAGGCAGGCACTCACTACGTGCAGGGCACAACGTCCATCATAGCCCAGCTGTCCCGGGTCAGCCCCAGCCTGCCACCACGCCCGCAGGCCCTCGCTGTCCGCCCTGGATGCCAGCCTGGGGGGAGGGGCACGAAGGGATGCTGTCAGAACCTGCTGGGCTCCTCACCAGTGCCCTGGTTACTCTTACAAGGACAGCCCTAAACAGCTGATCTAGCTGCACCCAGCCCTGGGGCCGGAGTCTAAGCCTGGGGCGGCCTGGAGTCTGGTTTCACCTATGGGGTGTGACTATGACTCAGGTCAAGGGCACGAGCTCGCTCACACACACACACACACACACACACACACACACACCTATGAGTACGCACACACCCACCCACCCCCGGCCAGTTTCATATTTCACAACACAGACTTTGTGTCTGGCCTGTCTCAAGACAGAAGGAAATACCGACGGCCAGTGGCCACAGAAGGGAACCCAGGAAGTGAAGGCTCCACGTTGGCCCCAGACCCCAGTAAGCTGCAGGGGCATTTTTGTTGGAGAAGCAGTGTGTGTGTGTGTGTGTGTGTGTGTGTGTGTGCGTGCGTGTGTGTGTAGTCACTGTGGAGGAAGGTTGGGGTGGACAGCCTTGTCCTTGAATATTAACACCGTCACCCTCTCACGCTCTGTATTTTCACTCTGAGAGCCAGTCCCACCCTGGGTGAGCTGAGGCTAGAAGAGACCCAAATGGCCCTGTGACTCCTCCCTGTGGGAGAAGCCCCCGCCCCAGGTGGCACTGTACGCTGAGCCCTCACAGTTCACCTACCCTGGTTCCCCATCCCTCAGCCCAAGTGGCAGCTCAGGGTAGTCCAGCCTCTTGAAGCAAAATCCTTTCTGGTGGTTGACTCTAGAGCCAGCTTCCCGGGACCTGCATGCTGCCTCAGTTTCCCTGCCTTTCACTGGAGCCATTAGGTCTGCCTGGGTGCAGTCCTGAACCAAGCTACCCCAGGAGACCCTTCAAAGGCAACCAAGGCCAGCCTCCATCCTCCTGGGCCCATCGCCTCTGTGAGCCACCCTTGTCCCTCCATCTTTGGGTGGGGGTGGGAACCAACAAACAGTACTTTTCTCCTGGGATACCGCAGACCAGTGTAGGGGCCTAAGGCTGAGGCCAGTAGACTGAGGCTGTCCCAGGAAATCAGTCTGCAGTTTCAGACACCCTGGGCAGGATGAACACACCACAAACAGCATTCCCATTCCCGGCTGTCACCATGGCCACAGCCCAGATCTGCTCTTCTCTTTCCCTGTCTTTATGCTCCCCCATGCCTACCAATCCCACAACACATACACAGCCCTGCTGTATTGTTCTGTTGGCTATTCCTATAACTAGGTTTGAGGGAGAGCCTTCTGTCAGCCAGGCCAAGGTATGCCACCAGGCTGTGGACCTGACCCTCCCAGCAGCCCCATTGCCTTTCTGGATCCTGAGGCCATGAGTCCATCACCTGCACAGCTCTGTCCCAATGTCCTCCAGCTCCTGGGGAGAGAGGCAAGCCCCAGCGGCCCGCAGCAGCCCAATGACGCCCTGATGCCTGCCACGAAAAAGTGCTGAGCGTCAGTGCAGTCCGGACCCTGACGCCTCATTCCTCCCTGGAGGCAGGGGAAGGGGGGGCAGGATCAGAAAGTACCCACCCAGACACCCATATCCTAGTCCCAGACAAGGGCTGTCCCATGACCCTTTGTAGGGTGCCATCACTCATCCAAGGCTCCTCCACAGGATGTCCAGGTCATAAGGTGCTAGTCAGATGACTGAACGGCTCTCTAAGCAAGCTGCACGCCGCAGGTGGCCTCCTGCCCCAGGTGGGGGTAGCACCCCAGAAGACTGTTTCCTACACTGAGCCAGGCAGTCCCTACTGGGTCACACATCTGAAGTGACCCCTCTGCTAAGGCCCAGGATAGGCTCTGAGGAAGCCGAGTCAGTTGTGTCCCAACTCCACCCTAGGATATAGGGTGAGAACGAGCTATGGCAGACAAACATGAACAGTGGGGTCGAGTTGGGCCCAGAGCCATTTCCTGAGTCAATGTAGCTGAGCCACATCTGGAGGGGGAGCGGCCAAGCAGGGCCAAGGTAGCTCATCCTAGATCTGCTCTGAAAAGAAACCTCTGCCTCGGCACCCCAGGGCGTCTCACCGGCGAGGGGCCAGGACTGGACACTACCATCTGACATCCCGAGCGGCTCACAAGCACCCCACTCCTTAACACCCCTGACACGGTCTGCGGGCGTGTGTCGTGGTGAGAAGCCCAGGGGAAGCTGATGCAGTGGAGATGCCTTGACTGGCTGGTCACACCACGCCACGCCAAGCTGCCTCTGCATTTACTGGCGGTCGGGGTCACCGGAGGACACACCACTGCCCACATGCCCTCTGCGCCCGACGCTGCTCTCGGCTCTAGGAGAGGGACACCAGTTGGGCCACACCCAACTGTAGCCTAGCCTTCCTGCATGAGACCCTCTGGCTGGCAGGCCTGAGGGCACCCACAGGGTCCCATCTTCTTTCTCTCACAGGCTGTTGGGTAATGCCCAAACGCCCACTCTCTTAGCGTCTCCAGGGCAGGGCTTGTTCTGGCAGAGCTGGAGAGGGTGGGATGAAGTGGGCAGTATTCCCAGTCATGCAGGATCATCCTTCCACATGGGGTGAGGGCCAGTTGGGGATCTTCCCCCCAGGACACCTGTGCCTGTCACAGCCCTTCTGCTAGCTCTTTCTCTGCCAGATTTCAGGGCACACGGCTGACTAGGGGTCACCAGGAGCCCCTCATGCTTTTCCAGTGGTGTTTTCCTTTCCTAGTTGCTGCTGGCATCTTCTGAGGTCAGCTCCTCCATGAAGCCCTTTCAGATGGCCCCACAGAAAGAGGCCTTCATCACTGACCCCTGCTCATGAGCCGATCTTTGCTCCCATCAAACGAGTGCCCCCTCTCAGCCTGCCCTTGGTACCTGCCCCTCACAGCCAGCAGCAGCGGGCTCTGGCCATCCTCATTGCGGGCGTTCACATCTGCACCCCTCTGCAGCAGCATGGAGACCACTGCAGCATGACCCCTCCGCGCAGCCACGTGCAGCAGGGTTTGACCGCTGTAGTCCTTCAGGTTCAGGTCTCTGCCCTAGGGTGACACAGGGGCACACAACCTCAAAATAGGGATAGGGAGGGGCGGTGAGCCACACAGAGGACTGGGAAGGATGAAGAGGGGCTGACAGTCACCCGCCCACTTCCAGCCAGGATGCATGCAGTGCCACTATCCAGTGTGGCCCAGGAGGGTCGCAAGTGTCCCGACTGCGAGTTTTTTCCCTCAGCGGGGGCCTCACCAGCTCCAAAAAGGCCTGCAAAGTGTCCAGGGCACCAGCATGAGCTGCAGCCAGGGCCAGGCTGGGCATCAGATCATCCTTTATGGCATCAGCCTCCTAATGGGAGGGCAACAGCAGCATGGGCCCTGCTATGCTTTGAGGAATCTTCACAGGGTAGGAGCAGACATTGCTGGCAGCCCCCAACTGTGAGAGCCCCATCTACCCTCATGGTAGAACAGTAGGGAAGGGCTCTGGTGGGAGCCCCCATGCCCACCCACAAGCCCACCTGCCCACAAAGACCAGACCACCAGGCTACACCTGGCCCCCTCTCTCTGCTGGCAATGGACCTGCCAACGAACCCCAAGATGTTTTGTTTTCTGCCTCCACTGCAGACGGGATGACAGTCACAGTCGTTCCTTGAGAGAGCATGGGAAATGGGGCAGGACCCCCCCCCCTACACACACCAGAAGGGCCTGAGTGCTCAGGGAAGGCATTCCTGGAAGGGCTACTGCCATAGCACTCAGTTGCCCAGGGGCCTTCTAAAGTGCCACTTTGTCCAGCGTCCATGCCGGCCTAATCACCGCTTCCGGCCAGCCTGGGAACATCATCATCATCACACAGCCACCCTAATGACAGGTGCCACCCCCAGCCAGCATGGAGCAATTAGCCAGCTGGCTCACCAGGCAGCTCTGCTAGGGCCACATGCTGGGCCTCAGCTTCCCCACCCCCTCCAGGGTCTGAACACTCAAGTATGGAGGGCAGAGGGACGGACACTCGGAGGTTAAACCACATTCCAAGGTACAGGTGTGTGGTCCGGGACCCTCAGCTCCATCTTGAAGAGACCCCATCAGCCCTGACTACTCAGCAGCCAAGCTGGACGGTGCCCCCACCTTGCTTAGGCTCACCCCAGTCTGGGCCCAAGCCAGCACGGACTCACCCTGAGCACAGCAGCCCCCAACACTTTTATCTCCACACAGCAGATGGGTCCTCCCTCCAAATCCTCACCGCCCACCCACACCTCCTCTCTGGTCCTCCTTCTATGCCAGCACGGCAGTGGTAGTAGATGGATGGCGGGTCCCGCCATCCGACCCGAGAGCGCGTCCAGGCCCACACACTGCAGCCAGTACCTGGCCGTCATCCAGACTGAGGAGCCATTCCACCCTGCAGCCCAGCATGCCATCCTGCAGCAAGGACCGGCGTTCATTCATTGTGGGCAGCGTCATCTCCCCACGAAGATTCTTGGCCAGCAGCTGGGAAAGAAGGACACGGAGGCCGGTGGGCTTAGCACGCCCAGGACCAGGGAGTCCAGACCAGCTGGGAGCACCTGGATGGCAGAGCAGGGAGATGGGCCTGCCCAGGGCTGACACTCCACCATGCGTGCTGCCCATGCAAGGGCTGAGTGTGACCCACAGTCTCCACAGAAGGCTAATGCTGTCCTCCCTCCTACAAGCTCCAGGGCTCCGGGTTTCCTAAGATCTCAGCCAGGTGCTGGCAGCCTATGGGCCTGGAGCCCTGAGTGTCTGAGTCCCACCTGAGGGGAGGGAAGCGGGGCAGGGTGACAGAGGCAATGCAGGAGGGTGCTGAACTGAGAACCAAGGCTCCCCAGAAAAGGATAAGGGTGCACTGAACTGGGTCAGCACTGGCTCTATTGTCCACTTCCAAAACAGAGACACAAATACTCCTTGTGGCCTTCTCAGGAGTCAGCAGGCACGGCTGAGTACACAGAAGGGCTCCAAGTCCCTGCGATGGTCCCAATGGCACACACACCTTCTTCCTGTCATCCAGGCTCAGCCCTGGCTGGCCCAGCACATAGGACAGTTTGGCCAGGGCAGCCTCTGAAGTCATGTCAAAGCCTGAGACAAGGCCAGCTCCTGCCATGGCCTGTGGGAGGGACAGACAAGCCAGAAAAGGTGGCTGGCTCAGGGACTTCCCCAGCAAAGGGGAAGCAGAACCCAGACACACTCCGTCTTCCTGGGCCCATCCTCCACCCCTACCATGCCAGATGCATAGTCCGAAGTCACTGCCCCCTGAAGGCAATGGGTGCAGTTGACAATGATCAAGCCCTGCTCAGTTGCCATCCGCAGCTCCTGCAGGAAGTCTGGCTTGGTGGGCCCATTCCCAGAGCCGAAGGTCTCCATGACCACACCCTTCAGTGGGGGCTGCAGGAAGGTCCGGACCTGTGCAGGTAGGACACAGATTGGGGGAGCGCCAGCTGGCCGGAGCAACAGGGCTTATCCTATGCTTCCCAGTTGTCTGCCTTCCCTCTCAAGGTAGCCTGGTTCTCTTAGCTGTGGGACAGCTAAGCCTGGATATTCTCCTACCCCTCCAGTGTTAGCCTGGAGAAGCCGGGCTTCCGACACTTGGAGGCCCGCAGACGGGGCCCTGCCCAGACTCCCGCAGCCTGGACAGCTGCATTCAAGGACAGAGGACAGCTCTCTTATAACAGATAAGGGAGGCACCACAGCCACGGCAGGACCAGCCGGCTCTGAGTGAGAGGCTGCGGACAGGCGGCAGGGGAGGGCCCACCAAGCTGACGTGAATAGGCAGAGAGAGATGCGGCAGCAGGTGAGGCGAAAGGAGTGCAACAGGCCAGCCTGAGCTACACACTAAGACCCGCCTAAAAAGAAAACAGGACCAGGAGAAGGCAGAGCCCTGGGGCCACTCCCAACCAGCCTCAGAGTGACATGCTCTGTGTGACACCAGATGCTCACAGGCGTCCTCAGGTGTGTACACAAACAAGCCCGCACTCAGCTTAGGTGCTCAGCTTTGTGTCTTAAAGCGGAGCCCAACTGAGAGGGAAAGGCTGCCCATATGGGCATGCTACCTTTCCCCCCCATACTTGTCCAGAGAAGGGCCTGGGACAGAGGGAAGTGAGACCATGGCATCAGAGAGCCCTGTGGGGCATGAGGGCATGGGAGCCGTAGAGAGCAGTGCAGGGCAGCACGTTCTGAGGTTTCCCTACCAGGGAGGCAGGAATCCCAGGGTAGAGGCGCAGAAGGCCCACGTCATGCTCCATGCTGCTGTGAACCACCAGATGGTCCTTCCGGCTGGCCTTCCGCACCAGGTCACAGTTGACTGAGGACAGAGGCCGAGTGTGAAAGCTGCGTAGGCCACGGGCAGCTGAGGTCCCAGCCCACCTCCAGTCTTTCATGCCCACCCTCTTGCCCATCCTCCCCCAGGAACCAAATCCCCGGTCTCCTCAGGCCAGTGCCAGGTTCCACAGCAAGCCCATGTTAGGAGAAAGATTAACAGCCCAGCGGTGGTGACAAGGGTGATGGGGCGGAGGGCTGGGGATCACGGCTGACAGGTGAGGGAGAAGGAAAATTCGAAGCCAAGCCTGACTGAAGGAAAGTGTGTGGGACAGGGACAGCATTGCAGGCAAAGGGACTGGCGGGTGCAAAGGCTAGAGCAGCAGTCTGCTGGTTCCACAGGAGTCCAGGAGCATCATCTGATCAGATGGCCTAGTTTGTTGCCCTCTGGCTGGGTGCTGGGGACCTTCTAAGCCCATTGCCCATCTGGCAAATTAATTGATCTTCTCAACCCACACCTTCAAAGAAAGAAAGCCTCTATCTAATTTATCCCCAAATTCTGGACCTAGCAATGCCCATCATCCCCCCCACACACACCCAGGCTGGGTAGTGGCAGAATCTCAGGCCAGAGGAAGGCAGAGAAGGGTAGGAAATTGGGGTCAGCATTCCTCAAGCAGAGTCATGCCAGGGACCTTGCAGAGGAGAACCTTGTCATCAGACCAAAGGCCACTGTGAGTGAGGTTAATACCCAGGCGCCAACCAAATGGGCAGGGACAGGCATGGTGGGCTATCCGTTGAACTTCATGAATCCTTGGCACCCAGAAGCCTCCAACCCAACAGAGGATGCTGGTGACTTTCCTGTACTAAAAGCCCTAGGGGATCTTCTAGCCCCTCCTGGGAAAACTGAATCCTGGAGGTGGGAATGGTCTCATTTGAGGTGCTATGCTCATAAGCCAGGCACTGAGCCAGGACAGGACCACAGAGCTAGGCACCTCCTCCAAGACTGCCCACCCTGCCATCTTCCTAGCCCTTTGCTGGGCACAGGGGTTATAAACTCAGGAGGTCTGGCTGCTGTGTGTGCCAGCGAAGTCACATGTGATAAGCCACTAGACAATATTGTGGACTCACACTGAAGGGCGAGGCAGGAGAGAAAAAGTGGGGTCCATATCGGCTGCCTACCCCGCCAGCGACGGCATCCATCAGCTGACACAATGGCCCTGTGAGATGTCCTTTAATTTAGAGACGAGCATCTCAGCTGGGCAGACAGATAAGGCTGGGGGGCGGGGGGAAGTTACTGCCACCAGAAGAGTTATGGCTGCAGAAGGGGGCTGCACGGAGACAAAGGACCACTCCATGGTCAACCACCCTCCTGATGAGCCGGGAAGTCTTTCCTTAGAATCTTTCCATCCTCCCCTCGGGCTAAGCCTTTAATGGCCCCTGCTGTGTTCTACTGAGAGGCCTGACCTGGTAGTCTAGTCTACCCTTGGCTTTAGGGTCTAAGGTGGGCCTGCTGCTTCTGGGAAGCAGGTGGCTCCAGGGTACAGGGAAGGGCACCGAGTTCGACGGCTGTGTACCACAGGTATAGCATAAGATCCCAAGCTGTGGAAAAGACCTAGGGGCCCCTTTGCTGCAGAGTGGTTCCCTCCCTCAGTTCCTCTGTTCTGGTGGGCTGGGAGGCCTGCCCTGCAGAGGCAGAGCTGAAGGAAGGAACTAGGAGTAAGGATGGGGGGGGGTAGACCACATAGATACACAGGAATGGGCAGGGCCAGCAAGACCTAGCTGTCCCCAGCGCAGCGTGCCCCTGTGCCAGGGCAGAGCACACTGAGCCACTGTAGTCTGTATCTTGTCCATCACCAAGGATGGTCCCCCAATCCCCGCATCTCCCCGACAGTAAGTGCAGAGCAGTCAGTGGCAGCCTGTGAGAGGCCCGAGTCCCATAGCATCGTCAGGGTTCTGTCCTGTGGGTGGCTGGCAGGAGGCAGGCGCATGCTCTGCAGGAGCCCCACTGCCCCTCCCCAGGGCTCTATCGGCCACACCCTGAGCAGAACCCGTCCTTCTCCACACGAGATGCCAGAACCGGCCGGGCAGCCTGACAACAGCAAGAGGGCGGGTGCAGGTTCCCACACACCCACACAGACAGGATGGTGGATCAGGATACTGGGCCGGGACTCGGGCAAGCCGCAGCTCTGGGCTAGGGAAGCTCTACTGGGCTGGGCTTGCAGCCCAGGTGTCCCAGGGTGGCAGAGACTTTTAGAATCAGGGTGACGGCTTCTCTGCCCACAGGAGAAGCTCCAATCCTGAGCCCAGATAAGGAGTGACTCAGGCTTGGAGAGCTGAGCTTCCCCTCCCTAGGCCACTAGTGCCACCACTCGAGAATAGCTGGACCACCACAAGCGCCGTGTAATGCAGGCTCTTCCAGCGAGGCTTCAACAGGTCCAGGCCCCAGATAACAAGTGGACCTCTGAACACCAGAGTCCCTGGTGTCCGGGCCTGGAGTTTCTCACTGCCTAGAAGATTCTGGGGTGAGTGGCAGGGAAGGGAGGCCCAGGATGAGCTGAGCCCCTGGAGTTCTGCCTAGGAGGGGAAGGGGGTGGTTAGGAAGTAGCCCTGCCTTCTCTGGAGGTTCTACTCCTCCTGAACCTGGAACAGCTTCTGATGCCCAGGAAGACTACCAAGAACAGACACCTGCAGGTCCCAGCAACGCTGTGTCCCACCCACAGGACCTGCTGTGCCCAGGCAGAAGCACGGCGTGGGTGAGGGTTGCCTCCACCCTCCGGAGAGCCACCCTGTCAGACAAGAAGAGCTGCTTTGGCCCTAGAGGAGCAGCCCAACCTAACCACGCCCATGGAAGCCCAGCCCTTCCAGAGCCTTCCCAGGACAGGCCTTAGAATTCCAAAGGTGGAAGGGCAGGGACCAGAACCTGGGCAGCCTCTCAGTTATTAGGCAGTGAGCTGGGCTCAAGGAAGTAGTGAGCAGAGGGCAGTGAGCAGCAGCCAGCACAAGCCTCCTCTGCAGCTGGATAAGGCAGGCCAGAGAAGGACCTGGGGTGACAGTTGTCCTGAGTTCAGAGAGACACAGGCTCTTAGAAGGCTATGTATCCATGGTGAAAAGCTGGGGACCACTAGAGTCAAGGCCTGAGTGGCATTGGAAGCCATCTTACACTTAGGGTAAGGAGTGGCTAAGCCTTTACGAAAGCTCTGGAACCAGGACCCTCAGAAACGCCTACAAGCCATGTTATATGACAAAAAAGCTAGATTCTAAGGACCCATGTATATTGCAGAGCCACGGGCTGCCACAGAGAAGAACTTCTTCAGGGGGGGCGGTCACGTGGTGGGACAGAATCCCCAAGAGCCACCTCCCACCCCACCCCACCCCTCCCCCCAAGCTCCTTTCTCGCTCTCAGGTCCTCTTACTTGTTACATCTGCACCCACCGTGGCCAGAGGGGGCAGGTTGGGGGAGCAGAAGGCTTCAAACCTCTGAGCGTCCACCTTGGTTGTCCGATTGCCCCGAAAGAGCTGGTTCTGGAAGAACAGGCAGACCTGTGGAGAACAAGGCAACAGCTCAGAGCTGGCCTCCTGGCCCCCTCTCCCAAACCCACCATCAATAAGCAAACCTCCAAGGTGAGCAGCAAGCAGGTGATCTTGCTGCCAGTACCACCCAGGGAAGACTGAGGTGCTCTGGGCCCTGAATGCACAGAGGCTGCAGGAGGCCACACAACCAGCTTCTCAGCCGCCGTGGACAAGGAGCCAGTGACGCCAGGACTCCCTTGAGGTGATGGGAGGTTGGGGGACCACCTTTCACCTGCCTGCTGCTCTTCCATAGTTCCCAACCCTAACCTCGCCAATCTCCAGGGAAATGCCACAGACGAAGCGGCTTCCGGCCTTGTCTGTGAAGGACAGGCCTGTCTTGTCTTCCCGTTCTGCCAGGTGACACAAGGAGCCCTTGTGGAGGGACACAGCAGGCTCCAGGCTCAGGGTGGACGCAGCCCATTTTCATGGACTTCTGCATGTGTATATAACACACGTGTGGAATATTTACAACCTGGTGGAGGGGGGCAGCTTTCCTTCCATGGTTTTGTCAACTCCAGGTTTTTCACAGTTGTGTTATTTGTAAAGGTAGGGAACAAATGTTTTCAAGACTGTTCCGACCCCTGGCCCAGGGGTCCCAACGCGTGCCATGACCACAAGGTCCCTGGCATTCACCTGGGTGGCAGCCTCCACCCAGGCCGCTCATGCAGCCGGGCCAGATACCTCAGGGATGATGTATTGGCCTGCCATGAGCAGGGCCCCCAGCAGGTTCTCACGGCCGTCGTTCCACAGCGCATGGATGGGCACCTGGGGAGAGGCCAAAGGGGTGGCTGAGGCCTGGGAACCCAGGACACACCGAACTTCCCGCTCTAGGCAAACCCATCAGAGCCAGCCAGGGAGAGGAGATGAGGCGGGCTTGGGCTGGGGAGTGGCGTCTGGGGGTGCTTAGCCCACTCCCGAGGCTGTCAGCCGTGGACGTTCCTTCTGACAATGTCAACCTGTGCCTGGGCATCTTGACCTCTTCATCTGGTTCCCCCCAAAGCTAAGTAACCAGTAGGCACCCCAGTCCAGTCTTGGCCCCAGCTCACATGGCTGCAGAGTCCAGCCCCTTCACTACTGCAAGAGCTGTGGGCCAGGCAGGGCACGCAGGGTGGCAGCGGGGCGGGCTGCAGTGGGAAGGCCTTTCTGAGGCGGGCGGGGAAGTCTGGCTTGTGCCCCCACACCTAGATATGCCACAGACAGTGCCTAGAGCGGCTGAGCAGTGCCCGAGGGGACACAAGTGGATATGCAGAGGCCAGGGTCTTCAAGAGGATTGCCTGGAGAGTGGTCAGCTGGGAGTGGTCAGCGTGGCGTCTCTGGAGGGAGGCTCCTCCCATGGAGCGTGAGTTTGGGAGAACCTATGGACACTGAGCTTCGGTTTCCCCCGGGAACAATGAGGGCTAGGGGTGATTTGCCACGGGCCTCCCCAGAGTAGGGCTATTGTACCATGTGATTCTCTGGGAAATAGGAGAGGCCGAGCCAGGGCAACTGAGCCGCTACTGCCAACAGTACCGGGCACTCTGGCAAGAGGTTTTCCAATGGGGAACAGCTGAGCCACCACTCTCACCTGGTGGGGTGTCCCCAGGTTGTGCCAAAAGGGACCCAGATGCTGGTAGAGGCCTTGGCCTCTGCCCCAGGGTGAGGGTTGTGAAAGGCTTGGGTAGCAACAGAAACCCCAAGCCAGACTTCACTCAAATAGAGTAGTTTACCACAGAATTCCATTGGCTTTGGTTGGGGGGAGGGTGCACTAGACTAGGGCCAGAGGAGGGAATGCCATATGTGAGGTTTGCTATGGACAACATCAGAGAGAGAGAGAGAGAGAGAGAGAGAGAGAGAGAGAAACACGAGGGGGATGAGGGAGGCTCCCCGGGAACTGTTCTCTGTGCATCTACCATGACGAGCCTTGGTGGTGGCAGTGGCCAGCAGACATGAAGCCCCATAGAGAGAAGAGGAGAGAAAGAAAGCCCTGTGCGGCACAGCTGTAGGGGGCTAGGCTTTGGGTACCCTTAATGGACAGGACTTCCAGGAGCCCGAGGGCCTCCCGCCTCTGGAATCGGTAGGAACTCATGGGGCGGAGAGTGAAATGGCCTGGCATGGCTGCCACTTAAAGTGTCCACACACCCTAACTGGCAGCACACAGCAGGCCTGGTGCCAGAAGCAACTGCCCAGCAAGAAGCCGGCCTGGCCCAGACCTGTGGCCCCCAGAGTTCTCCGAGTCCGAGGACGGAGAGCTGCAGTCCACGGTACCTGGGCTCCGGTGAGGATGACAGGCTTCTGCAGGTTTTCCAGCATGAAGGAAAGCACTGAGGCGGCGAAGGCCATGGTGTCCGTGCCGTGGATGACCACGAAGCCCTGGTACTGTGTGTAATGTCTCTGTTGGAAAGGATGACCTCAGGGCACGCCAGGTCTCTCCACCACAGGCCATGGGAAAGGAGAAGCCTGGGATGCTGGTAGAGGGCTTGGCCTAGCACCGGTCCATCCCCCTCTGCAGGCCCCCTCTGGAAGGCCAGCCTCTGCCTGGAGACCCACTTGTAGCTTGCTTCAAAGAATGAGGGAATGTGGGTTCCAGGGACTCTACAGAGTGCTAGGAACAGCTCCCCAGACCTCCAGCTGGTGCCTCTCAGCTGCCAAGTGGCCACGGTGGACACTCTAACCATCACTTCCTGGTGGCAGGCTGGCCAAAGTTATGGCTGCCAAGACAAGAGATGGGAGGCCTAAGAAGCTCTGCGGGTGTCAGAACCTCCTGACCCATCGAAAGACCAAAGGAGCTAGGCAGTCTCGTGGAGCCGTGTGCCCTCTGCTGGCCAGATGAGGTACAGCTGCTTAGCTTCCCTGTTACGAAGAGCACCAGGCAGGGCCCTGAAAAAGCCTTCATGAGGCTAAGATGTGGCCTACCCTTCTTAATGACAGAGTAATGCCATCTGAACCTAGCCTAGAGACCCTTCCTCACAAGTGAGGAAGACTTCCCTGGGCCACCACAACATAGCCTGAGAGTGCCCACTAATGGCCAGGCTCCTGAACCGGGCAGCTCAGAGTTGGCAGTAGGGGCCTCTGGACCCTATCCAGGGTGGCAGAGGCTTCTTAAGGAGGCAAGTAAGAAGAACTGTGGCTGGGCCTGCTCCTGGGAGCTCTGTCTGGGATCATGGGAGAAGAGGAAAGCTGAAGGAGATGGCTCCACGGTAAAACAGCCCTTGATACTACAACTACCAGTACCAAACACTGCAACGGAGATTTGGGTGCAGAATCTACTGAGAGGCACCTCTAAGATTGGGATTTGGAGGGGTGGGTCAGACCCACAAAGTTAGTCAGCCCCCACCCACATATCCCACCAAAGTGCTAACTGGATCAGGCCAACTGTCTGAGCAACCAGTGTCTACCCGTGTGACAGAAAGGGCCTCAGACTGTGCGCAGTGTCAGGGGCCCGGGACCCAGCCTTTTCCTGAGGCTGTCATGTAGGTTACTGCCAGGTCCCAGGTAGACAATGGCTACCACAAGCCCATAGTTATTCCCTTGCCCAGTGGTCTGCAGGAGCCCTGCCCTGCCCTCCAGTACCACCCACATCCAGCCCCTTCTGCACCTTGCCCTTCCCATACCCCAGTTCCTCCTATACTGCTGGCTCTCCACATCCAGCCCCTTCCACAACACCTCCCTCAGGATCTGCCGCCCACGCCATAGTCCCACCTTCCAGGCCGCCCCATCCTTCTGCCCCCGCCCCCCACTCCACAGCCCCGCCCATGGCTCGTAGCCCTGTCAGGCCCACATTCTGCCCTGCCCACACTCCCACCCTCTACCTCTATGGTTTGGGCAATCTGAACCCATTCAGTGATGGTCATGTCACTGGAGTCGAAGAGTGGCTGGCACTCCAGCACCGTGTAGATGATCCTCTGGTCAGGGCTGGCCAGGCTGCAGGAGGCAGAATCTGTCTCCCATTCTGCCTTTTTCCTGATCCAAAGCCCCCACCTCCATTGCCCTCTCCAGCTAGGGTGTGGGCGGGACTGCGGCATCTTAGGAGGGGCTGTGGGGGGGGGGGCTGTGGTGCAGGTGGGGCTTTATGTGGCATCCTGGGTGGGACTGGGGTGTGGGCGGGGCTGTGGCATCCTGGGAGCTGCTGTGGTGTGGGTAGGGTTGTGGCACCTAGGGCAGGGCTGGGATGTGGGCGGAACAGTGGCACCTAGGAAGGGGTTGGGATGCTGGCATCTTGGGAAGTGGGATGTGGGTGGGGCTGCGCCTAGCAGGGGCTCCGATGGGAAAGGGGCTGTGTGGTAAGCGTGGGTGGCTAGTCCAGCCCCGCTTCCACCTGGAATTCCAGGATTAGAGACTGCATGCATCATCAAGAGGCAGACCAGCTGGCCTTAAGCACGTCACTCCCTACACCAACTCAGAGAGAGGTGAAGACCAGCTCAGGTGGAGCAGGAATCTACCTCACTCGGCCACCAAGGGCACAGGGCAGCTGGGACAGGGAGGATGCACGAGACCGGCCTCTCTTGATAGGCTTAGTACCTAAACAGGGGTGTCCTCAGCCTGCTTGCTGCAGGCTTCTTCTACTCCCGCCCTTTCGGGCTCAGGAGCTTCGGGGGAGGAGAGGAGGAAAAGTCCCCAGCATGCTGCAGTGCGCATGCCTACCTCCAGGAGAAGGTGAAGGCCCACGCCCATGAACTCAAGAGGTGTCAAGAGATGCCTCGTGCAAATGGCTCACATGGAGGTCCCAGGACACGGGAGGCTGCACCCTCCCGCTCTCTCGACCCCAGGAGAGCTGCACATCACCAGAGCCTGGAAGAGTATGTACTCACGGCAGCGCCATTGTATCCTCGGGCAGGTGGTGGGCCCGGGCATATTCTTCATCATGGAACATGTGAAGAGTCCTCAGGACGGCTGCCAGGCCTCTCCCAGGCACCAGCACTGCAGGCAGAGTCCAAGCGAAGTGTGGGTGTCAGACCAGGGCCGTAGCAAACTCCCCCAGGCAAACACCCTTCCCTGCTTCCTGGGTGCCCAGCTCTGGACTCGGGCAGGGACCAGGCTTCAGCTGGGCCAGACAAGACTCTTACAGATGTCACAGGCCAAGGGCTGAGCCACAGCTGCCACTAAGACCCCTGGGAACGTAGGCAACAGTTTCATCGCTTGGGCATCTTCCTCTGGAGCTGACTCCTGAGTGAATCCTAATCTTAAACCTAGCCGGTCCCAGAAGCTCCCAACACCTGTTCTGCCTCTGCTTGTATCAAATGTGTCTGGACACCCCATCAAAAGGGGTCCGTGGGGCCAGGTCCTCTCCGGCTTCGACTCAGTGAGTGCATGTACAGTCACAGCTCTACCCTCACGTGCCTCTGCGCATTGCTGGCACTGCCCACCCCACCCCGTTTCCTTCCTAGTGGGTACTTCAAGGTTCAGTCTCTGAAGCTGAGGTCATGCTGCCCTTCCATGAGCTGCCTGACCAGCTCAAATACTCCCAGAGGGAGTACAACTTCTCCAAGTCCAGCTCAGGCCCCCTGTCTCTGTCCCCAAACAGTAGGGCCAAACACACAAGTTCCCCAACCTAGCCTGCAGCATTAGGATCTGAGGATCCTGGGTCTAGGGGAACAGTGTGCTCCCTGCTCCCAGGACACCCTAAAGGGCACCAGAGTCTGGCAAAGGCTCCCAGAAACCAGGACTGAAGTCACAGCCATTGCCCTCTGTTAGCTCTGTGACCTTGCGCAGATTACTGTAACCTACTCAGACACAGAGCCTCCCCACAAGCCTGGTGCCTGGGCACAGCAGTGAAGACAAAAAGGTCCCCAAGAGAGGTGCCTGAGCAGTGGCGTGTCAGTCCCAGGTGCCACCTGGTCACAGCCCAAGCTCTGCTGGCTGGACCCCATCCTGTCGCTGCATCACTGTTCCCAGGACCACGGTCCTCCCACAGCCTGGTCATGTCTCAGCACTGGACAGGCACGCTGCACCTGCTGCCTGGCTGCTGCCTGGGGTCTGCAGCCAAGCCCCTACTACGGGGATCAGCCTCACTTGCTGCAGGGACCCTGGTCCACCAGGCTCATTCCCAACCACTACCCCAGACCCCATCTTCAAGGCCAGGCCCCCTCTGCCTCCTCTCTGAGCACATCTGCCGTCCCTTTGCCGTGAGACCCCGTGCTTACAGGTGCTGCTGGGGGGACATGGGCAACTCTGGGGGCGCTGGGGAGGAGCCCCTATCTCTGGCTAGGAGAGTGGGCCTAGCAGGCTTTCCTTTCCCACACCACACACCACGCCTGAACCAAGCTGCCAGTAACTTACCCAGAACGTGTAGCTGACGCCGAGGGGCACCAAGGTGAGGGCTTGGCCCTGCAGCACCCCCTGAAGCAGCCTGCAGACCTGATGGCCTCAGAGAAATACCTGCCTCAGACCAGGTTTGACACATGCCTCAGCCTGACACCACCAGCCATGGTAAACATAGAGCCTACCACCGACCGGGGCCTACCTTCCCTGGGTATACTCTTGGCGACCTTTAAATCCTATTTCTTGGCGTGAGTCTAAGGACAGAGCCACCTGAGCTCTGCAGCCAGCCCTCCCCTGCCAGCCCCTCCTGTGGTAACATCACTCCCGTCTCCCCTATCCAGCTAGCCTGCAGCTCTGGCTTCCAGCCCCTTGCTGCTGCTGGCTAGATCTAGTTCCTGAGAACATGGTCCCAAGTAAAGCACAGATCAGTTGTGCTTCTTTGCCTCGCAGTTGCAGGTCAGGAGCCCTGCAGAATCCGGAGCCGACGAGGCTGTTCCCCACCACTGCCACGCCCCCAGGTTCACTGGGCATCCCCCTATCTCTACACACCCCCTGGCTTGGCACAGAGTCCCTTAAACTTCTTGGCTGTAGTTTGCTGCTGCTGTTGTCTGCTGCTGTGGCTGTATCTTACAGAATGTTTTATAAGACAGAGCTCAGAAAACAGATGAACCCTGTGTCAGCCCCATGGGTCTCCAGAGCCACCCTCATTGTGACGGGGACATCAGCCTCCACATTCAGGAGCCACCCAAGTCACCCAAAATCCTAGTCCAGGAACCTGTGGCATTTGTCTTTTGTGACAAGTTTCTGGAGGATGATTGCATCAGATAGCCAGGGAGGGAGAGAAGACGCTGGATTGCCGGGCGGCTCTAAAGGCCATCACCTGTGGGTGGCACACATAGAGAGGAGGCCGTCCAACAGAGGTGCTGTCTCATTACAGGCAGGAGGAATATGGCCTCACACCAAGGACCCTGGCAACCAGCAGAAGTTGGAGGAGGCAGGGAGACTTCTCCTCTGTTAAGGCCTTCAGACTTTAAACTGTGCCCCCAGAAAGAGGGGCGGATCCCCAAGGCTTTCAATGCAGAATTGCTGGCAACCTCAAGACACTGAGATCGCCACTCAGTGCCACCATGGACAGCAGGTGGTACTGGAATGCCACAGACACTCGGCAGTTCAGCTCGAGGGAAGGGGAAGGGGGGGGCGCTTAGGCCATTATGGACGTGTTTGTATCAGGCAAGGCTCTTCTGTCTACAGCTGGACTATTGCCTCTGACCATGGACAATGGCCCCTGGGGACACACGGCACCCTGTGGTGGGGTAATCATGGGCTGGACTGAGAGGGTACAGGCCCTGGGAGCCCCACCCTGAAGGTGGGCACCTGGGAAGCATTAAAACCGGACAAAAGAAAGCTAAACTCTCCTATGATTTTCTTTCTGGGGAGAAACTAAAAATCTTGTTATCCTGAGACAAGACCTCAGAAACAGAGTGTGACAGAAACAGCCAAGGAGGGCAGGAGCTGGGCTGCCAGAAAGACCATGTTTCCGGGCTCCATGACAGTGTTTCAAGTTAGAGTTTGTTGTGATTTCCTTCAGTGTTCCAACACTGGCTTTCATTCCCAGTTCTGAATTTGTAAGCTGCATTATTTTCCCAAAGAGGTCATAACCCTGGAATGCTGAGCCTCCCCCCCCCCCAACACACACACACACCTGGGACCTCCTGGTGGCCTGTACACCTGCCACACTGAACACCATTCTACCTGCCCGGACTCTACAGCTGGGGCCAACTGTGACCACCGGGCAGAGGGCAAGCCTTGGCTACCCTGCGCAGATGTTTAACTCCCCTGTGGTGGGCAGCAGGCGAGAGGTACCCTAGCTAGCACAGGAAGCCCTTGGGTGCCCAGGTGCCACTGAACACATGGCCACAGGCTTGCGGTCACTGGACACACGGTTTTTGACTTGTGACATCTCCACAGCACCCTGAAAGGGTGGTAGAGAGCTAGCCACACGGTGTTGGGCACTGTTTACCAGCAGACACAGGAGCTGCTCTAACAGCATCAAAATAAACAGCTTCTCTGTTGCGGAAGCTGCCACTCCCACCGGGGGCCAGGACTCACATAAGCAGGGCCAAGCTGGTTAATCATTCATGCCAGTGGGGCCATCGAGGGCAGGAAGGGCATGCAGCCCACAGTTCAGCAACCCCCACAGCAGGGCACACAGAGGCCTGAACCCCAAGTTCCAGGCTTACGTTTTACCCAGCTCCCCTTGCCTTGGGTTTTGCCTCATTCCTGGAAACCCGTTTCCTTTATAGAAAGCCAGGGTGCCCATTCACACCTGTGTATCTGAACCAGGAACACACCCGAGGCAGGCCCAAGGCTCCAAGGCATAGCACTGGCTGCTCATTCATGCAGTCAGATCCCCCTCTGGGGGCATCAAAGTCCAGACCTCTTTTCTAGTTCCCCCTTGTCCCCTGATGACTAAGCCCAAGGCTCCCTGAAGTTGTTCTAAAGAGGGAAAGGGTCAGTAGCTGCAAGCCTTGGAGAGTCCCTTGAAGGCTGTGTGGTCCCATGAAGACCTGGGATGGGTTTGGCCCAGGGAGCAGAGCCCTCAGATAGTGCCCTGGGTGCTGCCTGCCCTTCCACCAGGGTCTGAAGACTGCTGCCTCCTTGAGCTCTTCAGGGGAGTGTCTGCCACCCTGAGGAAGGGGCTTCTAAAGCAGGGCAGATGCCTGCTGGTCTCCACCTCTTCCCAGGGCTTGCTCACCCCAGAGCATGGAGCAAGCGCCTAAGGGTCCTGGATGACCTCTACCCATCTGAAAACCCACATCCCACTGTACCTAGGTATTGGGCATCAAAGTATTTTCCTTTCCTGACCCATCCCGCCCTTGCAGCCTCTTAGAGAATCGTAACACATAGGGGAACATCCAGGGGGGAGGGGGCACAGTGTCGCCACAGGTGGGACTGTGGTCAGAGTCCATTTGTCCCCAAGCTTGTGTTCAAAAAGACTGAAACTGCCCGTGTGTCAAGCCTAGAGGGGCTCTAAGCAATAAGCAGGGGCCAGTCCCTGCTCTGGGCAGTTCTGAAGCCTCCCCATTAAGCCAAGCCAAGTGCTGGCTCCTCTCTCCTTCCCTCCACACGGCTGCTCCTGGTCTGGCCACACTTCCTCCTCAGTCCTCCAGCCACTCCTTTCTCAAAGGCACCCTCTCTGAGCAGCCCCAACTCAGCCCAACACCGTACATTCTACCCTGGGGCCCACTGGAAGTAACTGACCCTCTAGGGTTCAGCTCCCTGATGGGTGTCATTGCTTTGTCCATCACTCTGGTAAGGGCCAAGCAAATTGGCCATGGCCTCACATGCTAGTGGGGTGTCCTCAAGGACGTCCACCCAGGGGACCCAACCCAAGGCAGCAGGATGTGGCAGAGGACAGTCTTCCTAACCCTGGTGCCCAACCTCCTTGAAGACAGCCCAGCTTGGCCCTTAGCTTGGGAGAGAGAGCTAAGGGTTCTCTGCAGGGAGAGAGCAGGCAAGCAGCTCTGCCCGATGCTGTGCTAGTCTCTCCCGAAAAGGAAGCAAGCACACCCTAAGGGCTTTCAAAGGCTTGAGGGTGTGGAATGTTCTAAGCGTCCTTCCAGGCGCCCTGGGCACAGAGCAGAGCATTCGTCTCAGTTCCCTCCTCTGTCCTTGTGTCCCGTGGCTTCAGGGCCATTTCAGGGCAGGAAGAGCCATCCATGCCCCTCACCCCTTCCAGGGGGCCCAAGCTTCCGACTCCCAGCCACTGGAGCTGCCTACCGGAGGAGAAGGAGGGGTCCAGTCTCCCCTTGCAAGATAGAGCCCTAGAGTTCCCAGTGGCCCGGCCCAGAGGCCCTTCTATCTAGGGCTTTGGAACACTGACTCACCTCCGCCCTCACTCCGCATGCCAATGGTGCCGCCGGTGTAGATGGCCAGCAGCTTCCGTACAGGTCCAGTAGCACGCGCCATGCCTGGGACAGAGGTCTTCTCAGTGGGGACAGAGCCAAAGGGAAAGCAAGACCGGGAAGCCGGTGGGGCCTGCAGGGTGGGGCTTACTGGAGGCTGGGGCTCCTTTGGTTAGTGAGAGCTGAAAATCCGAGGTAGGCTGGTTTTAGGGGTTGGGGAGGAGTCGCCTTCAAAGTACAGAGCGGGACACTTGCCGACCGCAGGGAGGAGGTCTGCCCGGATAGGGCTGAGCCCATGGTGGGTGGGGCCTCACGAAAGGGGCGGGTTTTCTGGGTTTGCCTTACTTAACTCAGAGGCCAAGGACCTCTGAATACCCAGTCAGGGTCACTCTCCTATCCCAGCAGGCCCTGCAACTCTGGGGTCCCAGCATTGCATTCTAGACCCTCTACACACAGTCCTTGAGTTTCTCAGGGCCAGGCTGAGCTAGCGAGTTTTCCAGGAGACTGGCACTCACTTGTGATCTAGAGGTACCAGGAGGCAGGGAGCTCCCAAGAGCCTGATGCAAACAGCCTCCCCTACTATGCTCCTGAACTTGGAGCAGACCCAACCTGTCAGAGGGAAGTGAGCACCACCCCCAGGAATGTCCCCTCCAGACCGCCTTAGGCAAAGGTGAGGCTATCTCAGACCTTGGGCTGTGTTCTCCTGCCTATGACCACTTGCTGGGAGCTCAGAGGTCCAGAGGTTGAGAGTTCAAGATCCATGTCTGGCTTGGAACAGGCTGTCACTGCTGATCTCCCAGCTCAGAAGTTAGGGCCACACAGGCTCCAGGGTGACTCAACGGTCACAGCTGACACAGCTGTTCTGCTCTCGTTTCTCTGTGTCCATTTGCTGATGAGGCATTCTCTGGCTTGGTCACACGTCTTTAAGTTCCTGTTCTGGACACACAACTCTTGTCCTTCTTGAGTTTGCCTTCAAGTGACAAGACAGCAATGGATAAAATGCTACAGTGGGGGCAGTGGCAGCTGTAAATAAGAGTATGCAAGGAAGATGGTAATGTTTCCACGAGTGGCCAAGGTCTCCATGAAGAGTCAGGGCAGAACACAGCAGAGAACAAAGGTACCAGGCAGTGGGAGCAGGTACCGATGGCTAAGGCTAGAAAAACATTGGCTGGTTTTGTCACCTTGACACAAGCTAGAGCCATTTGGGAAGAGGGTTGAGCAAACTTGGGCAGTTAATGACCCTGTGTTAGTTAATTCTCTGTCACTGTGAAAAACACTCAAGGAAGTCACCTTAAGGAGGAGGTGTTTGTCTGGGCTCACGGTTTCCAAGGGCTGAGTCAGTGCTCAACGAGCTGTTACTTCTAGGCCTGTGATAAGGCCAAACACCACAACAAGGAACATTATGGGTGCAAGTTGCTCTAATCCTGCCAGCCCAGGAGGGGAGAGGCCCGGGGGCACTGGGGCACAGCAGAAGTGTGTGTGTTTTATTTTTGTCTTCTGTAGTACTAGGAAACATGCTATGTACACACTAACTACGCTCTCTACCACAGAGCCACACCTGTACCCCACCCCTTCTCCCGAACCCATCTAGCTGTGAACTCACAAATGGAGTCATTGATTCTACAGATCAGTGTCCTCAGGACCCAGTCGCCTCTCAAATGCCCACCTCTGAACACTTGCATTGCAGACTCAGCTCTCGGCCCTGCCCACCTCACTCTGCTCTGTCCCGCCCGCTTTGGTTTTGCCCTTACTTCTGCAGAGCGCAGTCCTCGAACTGCAGCCCTCAAGCTAGCAGCACTACCCAGTGCTTGTGAAAATAGCAGGAGCCAGAACCCACTCTGGGCCTCTTGGCTTGGAGACTCCTGGGGGACCCAACAACCAGCACCATGGCACACCCTCCAGAGGCCACTGACACAAACCAAGATGAAGAGCCACTATTTGAGCCTAGGGGACAGCAAATGATGGACCGCAGGGAAAAGCTAGCGCCCCTGCTTTGAACAGAAGGCAGCTTTGTTAGATGGCCATACCTACTCTGAAGGGCAAGCCAGGTCCAAGGAGCACAGCTGGCCTTCCGGCAGTGAAAGAATTGCAGGAGACCTGCCCCCAACTGAGTCCTTGTCCCACCCTCCAATAAGAACGCAATGGGCAGATAAGGATTACAAATGGGAGACGCTGGTCAGTTGGAATAAACCGTAATGGATGAAATAGATTAAACGAAAATGAAACAGGTTTGAGCTCCTGGTGGCTTCAGGATACTAGTTGAGGGCTGATACAATTCTGAGGAGTATTTTTTAATTATTATTTTTTTAATTTATGTGCCTTGGTGTTTTGCCTGCATGTATGTCTATGTGAGGGTGTCAGTCAGAGTCCCTGGAACTGGAGTTACAGACAGTTGTGAGTGCCATGTGGGTGCTGAGAATTGAACCCGGGTCATCTGGGAGAGCAGCTACCCCTCCAGCCCCCAACAACTCTGACAAGCACTGTAGCTCAAAGCATCTCCTTGGGAAGCCAACCAGGAGCCATCCACCGCAGAGCAAATCTGTAGCTCTGGGAAGTGCTTTACTCGAAGCTCTCATCAACAGCAGCAGAGTCCACGAAAAGCTGCTCCAGGTTCAGAATCAGGTCTCTGCTGCTGCTTCACCTTTTAAAAAAGCATTCTGTGCAGGAGGCGCTGCAGGCCCAGAGGCGCTACAGGCTGGCTGCCACTGCCCCACACTCTCCAGCCAGCAGCTCTTTGTTCTCAGGCTGCTTCCACAGGAACAGTAATCAGCAGTCCACTTCCAGAGCTATTGCTGTCCGGAAACTTCCACAGTGCCTTGCGTGGGGACCCCTACCCCAGGGGCAGCAGGTGAGCAGGGAGAAGCACAGGGGGCCTCCTGCACAGGGCAGGCCACTGTCCACAGGAAGCCCTGAAAGCCTCCACCAAGCAGAGGTAAGGTCCTCCAAGCTGTGCTGTGTCTCCAGCCTTCCATCGTGGCACCCTCTGTGGTGACTGCCTGGAGCCAGGTCTGTGTGGATCCTATGGGAATCTGCTCCATGGAGCCTTGAATTGATGCTGAAGCAGACAAGTGCTGTCTTACTGGGCGGGGGAGGAGCAGAGGCACACAGATGATGAGGAAGCATGAATACAACACAGGCTGACAGGGCATGGGCAGGGCTACAAGTACAGGAGAAGAGGCATGGGGAAGAGAAGGCAGGAAGCCTCGGGGCCCAGGGACACCTGAACACCCTCAACTGAAGGTCTGACAGGGAGGAGAAATGGCAAAGGACAGCAGGTTCCCAGCTCTGCAGCCCATAAGGTGGCTCAGCCCACACTTTGGCAGTGTGAGGGAGGCACAGGTCTGTAGAAGGAAGTGCTCTCACACGGGGATGGCCCACTCAGCAGGAGAGGGGAGTGGGTGGGCTGGGCCCACTGACTCAATGAAGCCCGCCCCCTGTGGCACGGGTACTCTGAGATGCTGCATGCTGGTGCTATGCAGCCATTGGTTCAGGGGGTCAGCCGTGGGCTCCAGCGTTCCCTGAAGGCCAGTGCCCCCTGGGAGCCTTCAGCAGTCCCAGCGAACACAGCAGCTGGAGCTCCTGTTGAGCGACCCAGCATCCCTCCCAAATCTCTGCATCTGTGAATCCCAGCGTTGCAGCAGCCGCAGCCTGCAGCAGCCCCACAGATCCCAGACCCACAGCAGCAGCAGAACCCAACAATTCTAGGGGCAATGGGGGCGTTCCAGCACCCACACACCACTCAGCAAGGCAGAGAACTCCCCAGCAGCAGTCTACAAAAGACATTCTCATGGGGAAAAAAAAAAAAGCTTCAGCCCCACACAAACGCTAGGGAGGACTTACAAACCAAAGAGAAAATGCGGAAGTTACGAAGTTTCCAGAAGAAAAAAAAGAAGGGCTTGTTTGCAGCGGGTTGTCCTAGTGAGTCGGCACCAGGCACCAGCTACAAAAATTCAGGCTCCACAAAGCAAACCATCAAAAATACCAGGCTTCTCCTCTGTAAAAACACCACAAGGCCTGGGCTGCACACTGAGGTGGAGGCCAGCTTGGGCTACATAGAGAGAGCCTACTCCAAATTTTAAAAACAAACAACAACAAAAACATATTAAAAATAATTAGGCCAAAAGAAAGGAAGGGGGAGGGCTGGGGCTGGAGAGAAGCTCCCGTGGTCAAGAGCACTGGCTGCTCAGGGAGGGCCGGGGTCAGTTCCCAGCACCCATGTCAGGGGTCTCACAGCCATCTCTAGCTCCAGCGCCAAGGAATCCATGAGCACTGGGTACATCTGGTGCCATGCATACGGCACACACACACACACACACACACACACACACATACACACAGACACAGACACACACACACACACACATAGACACACACACACACAGACACACACACACAGACACACACAGACACACACACACAAGTCTATAAAATAGTTAGCCATATATAAAACTTAATTGAGAGTGCACTAAAGATCTGGACACAGGATTTACGCTGAAGAGGCCCTTAGGAGAACACAGAAGAACACAACATGACAAGGGACTTAGAGTTTATGTCCAGTCTGGGTGTGACACCGAAAGCATCAACAAAAAGCAGCCAGAGGAGAAAGGTGGCTTACCTAGGAAAAGTGTGCAGAGGCTCTGTCTGCTAAGGCGTGACCGTCCAGGCATGGCCATCCAGACACACAGACTCTAACTCAGCACCAAATGTCAGATAGCTGGACTTAACGCCAGATATCTCCAAGTGTGACACACATGGTCCCCAAGCGCGCAGAGCAAGGCTCAGCAGCACTGACCATTACTGAAACGCCAGGACCCAAGTTCCAGCACTGGAACCCACGCAGTCATGGGAGAAGAGAATTGAGCCCATCTGTGCACTGTGCACCCCAGCAGACGATGCCTCACACCCAACCGCACCCCAGGGCAGGACTATAAAACAATAAAAACAGAGAGACCAAAAAACAAAGAAAAGGAAACAAAGTGTGGGGAACCAGGACATCCTGAACGGCTGGCAGCCGCCAGGTAGAGGGCTGGTCCACAGCTGGAGCCAGGGCATGGCCACTGCCAGGGCTGGAGGGAGAAACGCCCCCTGTGTGCCCTGGACATGAGAAAGAGGGAGAGCCTGCCACGGTTGGAACTCCTAGGACAGAGTTCAGAGAAACAAGCCAGTCACAGAGAAACACGAGGCCCGGCTCCAGAGACACCCAAGTGCGCTGGAGACCGAAGGCGCAGTGAAGAGTGAGGCATGGATTAATGCC